AGTGCGCTGGGCAGTAGAGGGAGCCAAGCCCAAGCCCTGTCTTGGAGATCCAGAGCTAGAGAGGGGGCCAGAGGATGCCCAAGGAGGTGGAGCATTTGGCCTAGATCCTGGGCAGCCACCGGCAAAGTCAGAATGGAAAGGGGCCCTGGAGCATCAGAGTCTTGATTGCCAGAGAAGAGCAGGCTGCTGGGAAATTGTTAGAAGGGAGCAAGTGCCTTGCAGATGGGAATTCCCCATCCCGAGGCTGGAATCTCAGTGTCAGAGCATCCCCTCAGGACAGCCTGTTCCTTAGGCTGTTGAAAATAGTCTTCCTTCAGAGCAGAATTGTGGCCAGCCACGGCTTGACCACGCAGTCCCCACAGATGTCTCAAGGAGAGGCAGACTGGGGAAGAAGGAACTCACTCCATGGAGGTAAACCAAATGGAAGGAGGCCTCCAGACGCCGCTGGGTTTCCTGTCACCCCATCCAGAGTGGGCAGAAATAGGGCTGTGGGGCCCCAAGGTAGTCCCATTACTCTACAGAAGTTCTGAGCCCATATCTCTCTCTACTTCCAAACCAGATGAAAAGATGTCTTCTGGCCCTTCAGACACTCTAACTAATGTCAACTTCGAATGAATTGGGGTTCAGTGCAGTACTTTTTGGCTGACACGTTAGGTTAGGGAGAATGCCCGCTTCCCTTCCCTGTTCACTCATTTCATTGAACCCCTTAACTATTTCCAAATCCACCTGGCATCTGTGACTCCGTCAAAAGCTTTGCTAAAATCTGAGCTCACTTGGCACCATTTCTCTGATCGAAGTGAACATTAGCTGCTCAGAGGGCTCTGTTTTACAAGGCATCTCTGACCCTGGCAGCTTAAGCAAGAACCGAACCTTTTTGTGCCTTCAATTGCTGCTCTCGTACCATGCAAGCACACCACTCCATTGACCCGAGGTGGAGAAGTGCTCAGAGTCTGATCAAACATTTGTCCCACTGAGGTTGCAAATGCCTTTCTTCATGAGGCACTTCCCACCTACATGATGAACCAATGCACCTTCTCTAAAGTACTGAATGGAAAGTGAGGCTAACAGACCTCTGCCTCCTAAAAAGACAATGGCAAAAGGATTGCAAGCTAACCTAGTTCCCACTGTTATCCCAAGACAATCCACTGCATCTAGTAGGCCTAGAGTAGGCCTTTGTGGGTGTTCAATACAGAGATGCTATAGACCTCTGTGGTGCGGGGACGGGGGTGGCAAAGAATAAGGAGGTGGAAAGGCAGAAGAGCCAAAAACCTGTGAGGAATCCTTCCATTTCCTGAAATGGAAAAATGAAAAGATGATATTTGTAACTGATGAGACCCTACTAATGATAAAGGTGGTGGCAGGGAAAATAGAGAGAGAGCACAGGGTGAGTTGAATATGAAAGGATGATATGGAAAAGATAAAGCGAAGGAGTGAAACGGGAATGTATTGGGAGAAGTAGAAAGGGAGAGGTAGAATAGGGTAAATTAGGTAAGAAAAAGCTTGAACCGTGGAGGGGCAGTGGGGAGAAGTGAGAGAAAAGGAGTGTAACTTCTTCTCATTGGAATTGGTATAAGGAGGAATAGCATCCCAACTGCATTGGGTATGGAAATGTCTATTCTGTTACAAGAAAGTAGGAGAGAAGGGGAAAAGAGGTAGGGTGATAGAAGGGAGGGCAGATTGGGAAGTGGGGAGTCAAAGCAAACACTTTTGTGGAAGGACAAGGTGAAAGGGGAGGATAGAATAAACAGGGGAGTGGGATAGGATGGAGGGAAATGTAGTTAGTCTTTCACTACATCACCATTATGCAAGTGTTTGACATGACTACAGAGGTATAAGGTATATTGAATTACTTCTCAGTGAGGGTGGGTGGGGAATGAGCAAGGGAGAAAACTTGGAACTCAAAGTTTTAACTAGAAATGTTAAAATTGTTTTCCCATGTAACTGGAAAAGAAGATACACAGGCAAGAGGTATAGGAATGAATCTTCCCCTAGAGGAAAATAGAAGGTGAAGTTTCAGAGAAGGCAGGTGAAAGAAGGGAGGGCAAATGGGGGTAAGTGGTAATCAGAAAAAACAATTGAAGAGGGACGTGGTGAAAGGAGAGAGAGAGAACAGAAGAAATGCGGGTAGGGGAATAGGATGGAACTGGGGCAGCTAGGTGGCACAGAGGATAGAGCACTGGCGCTGGAATCAGGAGGACTTGAGTTCAAATCCAACCTCAGACACATAGCACTTACTAGCTGTGTGAACCTGGGCAAGTCACTTAACCCCTTTGCCTAACCAAAAAGAAAAAAAAAGAAAGAAAGAAATACACGCAGCAATATGAAATGTCAAAAGATTTTCGAAGCAAGTTTCTCTGCTAAAGACCAAATTTTTCTAACATATAAATACCACAAGAAGTGATAACCATGATGCTCTCCAAAAACCTGGAAAGACTTACACAGGTTTCATGCCAAGTGAAATGTACTGGGTACAAAGTCACAGCAATATTGTAGATGATCAGCAGGGAATGACTTAGCTCTTCTCAGCACTACAAGGAAGGATCCAAGACAACGCTGAAGGACTTAGGATGAAAAATGCTATCCATCCCCAGAGAGAGAACACTGATGGTGTCTGAAGAGAAATTGAAGCAACTCTTTTTTTTCACTTTATTTGTATTGACTCTTTTTGTCTATGTTTTCTTTCCCACCATGAGTGTTATGGCTCTGTTTTGCATGACTGCAAATACAGCCGTCTCAATGACGCTGTGGGGATGGGCAGGGAGAAGGGGAGAGACTTTGAAACTCCAAGTTTTAAAAGAAATATTAAGGAATGAAAATTATACTAATAAAGAAAAATAGGTATTAGTGGGCCTTGACCCGCTGGGCCTCTCTGAGGCACAGGCGGCTCTCCTGAATATTGGAGGGCCATTTCCACTCCCTCCCTCAGCAGCCAGAGTTTCAATGGGCTGTGGACATCCCCATCCTTGCAATACAGTCCAAGTCAGCTCCAGTAGGAGCCACGACGGGGGCAGGGTGGGCAGCATGGAAGGGCTGCTGGGTGTAGAGGGCAGTGGGAGCAGCCGCTCCAGCCGCATGGGGAGGATGGCCCCTAGCCCACTGGGAAGTTCATAAACATGATCCCCAGCAAACTGAAGGCCCCCCACCTCTATACCAGAGTGAAAGGGCAAGCAGGGAATTCTCCAGAATGCTGTGGATGCAGACCCAGTGGTGTGGGGACGGACTTAGCTATCTCCTTAGGTCCCTGGACAAGCGGCACCAGGCCAGGGCCCTGCCAGGACAGACGTTAGGGAGGTGAAGGATCTGTAGAGCTGGCAGCGAGCACAGTGCCCTCCTCTATGCCAGGCCATAGTGTCTGCACCTCTGCTTGTCTCACAGCCCTCTGTGCCATGGCACAACTGCATGCCTCCCAGACCTGGCCCTGGGCACGAGTGTCTACTCCATCCACTCTCCTCTCTGCCCCAAATCCTCATGTAGAGGCGCGTCCATGACTGAGTCGAATGCCTCACTGCCTGGCCTGCTTGCCCCCCTGCTTCATATCCTTCTCTTGTACAAAACCCAAAATCCTGTGTCAAAGGTCAGAGCTGGCCTCCAAGGTGAGCCAAGGCCCTGGCGTGCCTTTCCACGTCCCTCTGAGACCAAGTCGGCTGGCTTTTCCTACCGGTGTCAGTCTGTCTCTCCTTGTATGTATGTGGGTGGGAGCGCGTTTGCCTGTACCTGTTTGTGTTTGGGGGAGGGAGGGATGACCACGGTCCCGTGCACTGGCTTGACCCTCCCAGTCCCCTGGCCCCACATGCCCCTTTTGGCTGGCTCGAATGGGGCTCAGGACGCACTTGAAGCCACGTTGTGGCCGCTCTCATCCTGCCAATGCTACAGCCCAGCTGCCCTGTAGGAAACCCTCTCAACTGGTGTAGCCCCAGGCCAAGGATGATCCTGCCAGGATGAAAACCTGGCTGTGCCTAGCCCGACCTCGCGCCCTCTTTGTCCCCGCATTCCCTCTAGCTCGCGCCCAGCGTTCTTCAGGCGTTACACCGGTAGACACAAGGGACGCGGACGCCGATGCGGATGCGGATGAGGACTTGGACGGTGCGGTCGCAGAGCACACCTAGCGGGATCAGCAGGTAGCCCATCGAGACGCGCCCGGGCACATTGTGGCCGGGAGACAACGTGGTAGAGAGGGGGATGGTCTGGAGCTCCGTGCCCTCCTCTGTGCTGGGGAACAGTGTCTGCACCTCCTCTTGCCTGCTCACCCTCATTCACAGGGCTCATCTACACGCTCAAGTCTTGCTCCGGACGCAGTTGCCTCTGTTCTTTCACTTAACATCTGCCCCCAAATCCCCAGGAACAGCGACGTCCATGACTGAGCGGAGTCCCTCAACCACAGGCTCTTTGGCCCCTGCTTCATCTCCCTCTCCTACAAACAACACCAAAATCCAATAGTCCTGGCCAAGGCGCATTTCCGAATGCCAAGACATGGCATGACTTTCCACCGCCCTCCCGGACAAAGCCCTTTTGTTTTCCCTAGTGGTGTAAGCGCCTGTGTGTGTGTGTGTGTGTGTGTGTGTGTGTGTACGTAACGATTTGCGTTTGGGGGAGGGAAGGCAGGCCACAGTCCAGGGCACAGCGCTGACCCTCCCAATCCCCTGGCCCCATATGCCCCTCTTGTCGGGACAGAATGGGGCTCATTAGCATGTTATACCCAGTCTCAACCTCCCAATGCCAGTGCCCAGCTGGTCTCTAGCAAAGCTTCTAAACTGGGGAAGCCCCAGGCCAAGGATGATCCTGCCGGGATCCAAATCTGGCTGCCCCTAGCAAGAGCTCGCGCCTTCTTTGTTCTCCCAATTCGTCTGGCACGCGCCAGCATTCCCCCGACCTCACTCTAGTAGCCATCAAAGGACCCGGACGCTGATGCAGATGGGGCGCTCCGGGAGTGGACATGGCCGTCTCAGCAGGGACCCCGTCGGGCCACACTCTGGCATGGCGTGGCCGGGAGAAAAGGTGTTAGACACGTGGAGTTTCTGAAGCTCCGTGCCCTCCTCTATGCGAGGGCACATCTGACCCCCTCCCCCAGAGTCACCTGCTTTGCACCGCTGCCTCCGCTCCATCCCCTATGCCTCCGCTCCATCCCCTAAGCTCTCCCCACAAAATCCTCAGGAACAGCGACGTCCATGACTCAGTGGAGTCCCTCAGCGCCAGGACTCTTTGATCCACTGCTTCATGTCCCTCTCACACAAACAAACAAACCAACCGAAAATCGAGTTGACCAGGACAGGGCTCAAGTCCCAACGCCAAGGAATGGCATGCATTTCACCTCCCTCTACGACAAAGTCTGGTTGATTTCCTTAGGGCTGTGAGTGCCTGCGTACACGTGTGAGAGACAGTGGCCTCTGTGTGCGTGCGTTTGTTTCTGTGTGCCGGCGTACGTGAGTGTGCTTGGGAAGAGGGAGGACTGGCAACAGCCCTGTGCCCAGGGTTGACTCACCTAGTGTCCTCGTGGCACATGCCCCTCTTGTCTGCCCAGAATGGGGTTCATTACCCATCTATGCCCGGCCTTGGCTGTGCTGCTCCTGCAAACACCAGAGCCAGCTGCCTTGTAAGCAACCGTGTAATGGGGGGCAGCCTCAGGCCAAAGATGATCCCCCCAGGATGAAGGTCCTAGACCCAGTGCACTCCCGCTCTCTCCTCGCGGCCCCTTTGATGCGTGCCCCGCTTTTCCCACGGGAGCTCCCTTACGTGTTATCCGGGTCTCCGCTAAAGGACTGGGAGGGAGACTTTTCCATGGAAGTGGCCGCCAGGGCAGGGAGCAAGCAGTGTCTACAGGTACGGGGTTGGGTCTCCCCCTGCCAGGACAGGGACAGCAGAGGAGGTGTGGGCAGTTGCAATGTCTGCAGCCCTGGCTGAGGACACGATTCCCTCCTGTGTGCCACGACACAGTGGCTGCCCCTTCTTTTCTCTGCACAGCCTCTGCACAAAGGCACATCTGCCTCTCTTCCATCCCCTAACTTCCCCTACATAAACCCCCAGCTACAGGGGTGTCCATGCCTCACTTGAATCCCCCAATGCGAAGCATTCTTTTCCCCCTAGTTGATCTCCTATCCCACAAACAAAACAAAACAAAACAAAACAAAGCGAAACCACACAACAAACAGAAAACAAAACAAACGAAAACAAAAACAAAACTGCAATATGGAGCTGCACAGGGCTTGACAGTTGAGGAATCCCTGAGGAGGCATTAAGGTTGGAGTTCATGAGAAGGCAGTGGGAAGGCCTAGGGCCTGCCTTGGAGGGGGGGACCACTTGTCAACATTAACTCATTTGTAGTATGATGATATTCCTGAAGAGTTGTGATGATGAAATAAAGGAATAAAAAGTCTTTGGAGGGCTAGGCCTGATTCTCATGAAGCCCATTGCCTAAGGGTCAGGGTTAGGATCAGCTGGTTAGCGTGGACCAGTCCATGTGACCCCTTCCACCTACCAGAACAGGGTTTTGGGTGGTGGGGGAAGCCAAAGCTTGGAAGAGAAGGCAGTCCTTTCCCTCAAGCTTATAATCTATGGAGAGAAGAGAAAGCGGTGTTTGTGAAGCAAGCTGAGAACAAACACAAGGCCAGTGTCACAAGCTCAGATTGGATAAAGATGCACTAAGGGGGAAATCCAGAAAGGAGTTAGCAGAGAGTGGGGGCTCTGCTTCAGTAGGGAGGCCCACCACAGGGTCTTTTGGAGAGTAGACTTGGTTGCCAGGCTGAGGCAGGGCTGAGCTGAGGCCATGAGGCTAGTGAGGTTGACCGTGGTAGGCAGCCATCATGAATGAGCCTTGCAGCTGCTTCAGAAACACTGGAGGAGAGAAGCTGCCAGCCCATCTTTCCTTTTGGAGGAAGAAGTCTGGGGAATGGGTCCCTTCCTTTCAAGGTCAGCAGCATCAGTGCCGTCTGAGGGTCTCCCAGAAAATAGCGTCAAGTGACTCAGTCAGTAAGCACTGGTTCTCTTTCTTTCTTTGTGGAATTTCTAGAATTACTCAAGTCAAACGCTTGGAGGATGTCTCGGCGCAGTGAGCGCCTGCGCCTCCGATACCAGGCACTTGTTGATGGGCAAAGCAGCAGCAGCAGCAGCAGCAGCAGCAGCAGAGGGAGTTCCCAGGTGGCTGGCCAGCACACCAACTTCACGGAGGGTCCTCTCAGGTAAGAGGAGCCAGAGGAGACTAAGCTGCCTTCTCCATCACAACTGCCCGGGGCAGCCAAGGGCCTTGGCTCTTGCCATGTGCACATTTCTTTCCTGCCCCCTCTTTGGGTGGAGCCATCACTCTACTGCTTGCTTTCCCCGCAAACAAGAGAATTTCCTCCCCCTCTTGCACCCCAACTTTTGGCTGCTGCTGCCTTCTGCTTCTGAGAACAGGAACTGGGGAGAGGCAACTTGGAGCATGGAGAAGGCTGGAGACTTTGAGGCCTGCAACTGGGCAGGGAACAAGCCCTCTCAGCCATAGACCTCTTCTCCCTGGCCCCAAGGCCTAAGCTTCTTAGGGTGAAGCCAGGTGGGTGAAAGGTCTGTGGGTGAGAGACATTTTCAGATGACTCTTAGCTCTTCTCATACCTCATCTTGGTGGTTTCATTGGCAAAGAGGCCCTTACTGGCCCGGGGTAGCTGGCCTTGGTTCAATCCTGCCTCCTATATGAAAAATTAGTTATCTCTTGAAGGAAGAAGAACAGCAAAAGAGGGCTTTGGCTATCGTTTTCTTTCATCCTCCATGTCTCCAGCAAAGTCTCATGCCCCTCCAGGCTTTGCCCCTTCCTTTTCTTTCTCACCTGTCTTCTTTTTCACCCTCATATCTTTTCTCTTCATGCTTGCTGTCCCCCAGGACTGTGAGGAGGAAGTCGAGTATGGTCCGAAGCCTCTCACCAGGCCTCTCACCAGCCCCTCACCTGCTTACAGGGGTAACAGGCTGGGAGAGCCCCGGATCCACCTCAGGGTACTTCTCTGAGGATGATGGTGCAGGTAGGCATCACTTCCTTCTGCCCTGGAGCCCCAACCCCAGGCACTGCCCCACTTCCTTCAAAGGGTGATCCATAGCTGGGGGTGGGGCAGGCGTCTCTCAGACACCAGAAAGAGAGAACTCTGTAAGCTAGCTCCAGGTAGGGGTGTGGAGCATGGAGATGGGGCTCAAGATCCCAAACGTGCTTGTCTCTCCTTCTGGCCGGATCCTCATTTCTTCCCTTCCCTTCAGGGCACTCTCTTATCCACCAGCCGGCTCTGCATCCAACTTCAGTAATGGTGCCTCCCAACTTGGCATTTTTAGCTGCATGGCAATAAACCTTTCAGGTGGCTTCTGCCAGTGGGTGGTCACAGTGCCCAAGGGAGCGCTGATGCAGTGTACCTAGAAGAGCTTCTTCATGCCTATGCAAGGGCAAGCTGAGCCAGGCTGGAGGACCTCTAGCACACCGTGGGGAGATGGGCTTATTATGGACATATCCCCAGGCAAAGCTGAAGAGCTGTGGGAGGATGGAGGAGCAGAAGAGCAAGAAGGGGCTGCAGAGTTGGCAGGCTGGGAGGGGGTAGATGCAAGAAAGGATGGGCTGGCAGCGGGAAGCCTTGGAATCCCTCTGCTCGGATCTTGACAAGTTGGCTCTTTGCAGCATTCCAGTGGCGCCTGAAAACCACCTGGCACTGCGTGACCACTGCTGCCTCCCTCCAGGACTTCTTTCTCTCAATCAGGTCAGTGAGGCCTCCCTGGGGCCTGACACAATCTAGCATCCACAGTCCTCAAAGTCAATTTCCCCTTGGGCTTTGCTCTGTTTCTTTTCAGCTTTTGCAGACTTTCATGCACTGAATCTTATGAGAGACTCAGGTCAGGGCCAGGGCTGTGCTGGAAACAGCTGGAACCTGCTCCTGAGAGTCAGCTACCAAGTAGGGCTTCATTGAGTGTCTCCACTGAAGAAGATGATGGGAGAGGTGGTTTGGGTGTGCCCTGCCCTCCTGCAGAGCACATGCCAGCCCCCATTCGTCTTGGCTCTTCAGGGAAGTGGGTTGGCTCCAACTCTAAGTGGGACTCTCTTCCGGAGTATCTCTTAGGAGCTCTCCCCTCACTAGTTCCTGCCTCTGATCACAAGTGAATCTGGTGAGTTCACCTCTGCTAGTCTGAGGCTCCTGAGTTTCCCAGGACACTCCCTCCTTTGGGGTTCCAATCCAGAACTTTCTGCCCAGGCTTCCCAGGTCTCCAGGCCATGCTTGCAGTTTCTCTGTGGAGGAGCATGGCCAGCTTTCCAGGCTGCATCCAGGGCTGAGTCCAGGAGCCTCTAGAGCAAGGGTGGGGAACCTGAGGCCTCCAGGCCACATGTGGCCTTCTAGGTGCTTGGGGGTGACTTTTGGACTGAATCCCAGTTTGACCAGATCAATTGATTCTGTGAACTCTGGCCACACCAGAGGACCTAGTGGAACACATGTGTCCTCGAGGCCCACAGGTGGCCCAGCCCTGCCTTGGATTCTTGGGGTCACAGGCTGGGCCAATGGTGACCAGCCTGCCTCAGCAGGGCTTCGTCCTGCAGCTCTTCCAAGCCCAAACTGACAAGCAATGTAAGGACCGAGACCAAAGAAGACTGCCTAATTCATGAGCACCATATGAACCTAGTTCTGATGGAGGCCTGATAGGGACATACCTTCCACTGCACCTGTCAAAGGGCAACACGTCACCTTGCGTAACAACATGAGTGCCTCCCAAAAAGCCACGTTTTCTCCTTCCACTTTACCCCAAGGGCTGTCCATGCCAGCCCTGCTCTCCTCTTGTTGGGTACCCAGTGGCAGATGGAGGAGGTGGGAGGGGCAAAAGTGGGCCCACCCTTTGGGTTCTTTCATTTGCCAATCAGGGAGGGTCTCCCAGGAACCTGGGGTGGGGAAGGGCAGGCACTAACATGTCCTCCTTCACCCTGACGAAATCCAGGAAGTTTTGCACTCGCAAGAAGGGGCTCGTCTTTGTCTTGGGCTTGCTGTTGCTTATGGCTTCGCTGGCTTATGGTGAGTCTTGGGGAGTGCCCAGGGTGGACCCACCAGATGGGCGGGAAGGATCAGGCCGTGGGGACACAGCCGCCAAAGTTTGGAAGACAGAGCTTTGAAGGGCAGCCTTTAGGGAGCCAAAGGGTCAAAAGCCCTGGGAAAAGGGACCCAGGCCACATATGGGCAAGCTCTTGTGCCGCACATGTCACAGTTCTGTCCTGTCTCCCCTTCTCCTCTCCCTACACCTTGTGTGTGCGGGCCTCACAGCCTCATGCTGCAAGATCAGGTGGCCATCCCGCCCACCTTGAGCATGTCAGGGGCAGGGAGGTGATTTCTCTACACCCTCAGTGGTCACTGACCTGGCACCTGAGGCTGGGAGATTGCTGCAGGAGCTGAGTCAGGAAGGAATCTGTTCTCTGAGCTAGACACACAGCCAATGCCAGGTCTGGAGGGCTTTTGCCCTTTGAAGTTGGTGACAACAGCAGGGCGTTCCTCCCTGCATGATCCCAGAAGGGCTGCACTCTTGGACAGGAGCCACGACATCACACAGTGATCACTTGATCACTGTGACATCAAGTCCAGCTAGGGAATGATGACACCACAAATCAGATGGTCACCAGGGGCTGTGGTCCTCATTCAAAATGGACAGGGCCATGTGTTGAGCAGGCTCGGGACCACAAGGCGGCACTTGGAGGTTCAGTCTCCATGTCCTCTCCCCAGATGAATCTTTTCCCTCATGTTTGCCTTCATCCAAAAGGATTTCATGAGTTCTGAGAGGATCATGAGAGAGGGAACCTTTTCCTGAAGGCTCTTGGGGTGCAGCTGGCTCGAGCCATAGCCTTCCAGATCCTGTGACCCCTAGTGCATCTGCCTTCCTGGGGCTGGGGTCCTAGCTCACTTAGAGGTGACACTGCCATACTCTGTCTGGGTGGAAGTCCTCACCCTGGACTTCTTGCCCTTCTGGCACCTCAGCCTCTACCTCAATTAGCCTTTTGTCCCATGTGCTAGGTGCTTGGTATTTCTACCCCTATGGACTACAGACCTTACCCCCTGCTGTGCTCTCCTGGTGGGCAGCCAAGGGCAGCGGCAGGACAGAGGACCGTTGGGAATCAGGACAGTCCCCCTCATATTTCCAGGTCAGTGTCCAGCTCAGTGTCAGGAATGCTTTGCACAAGATGGCCAGACAAACCACGCACAATCCACTTCACTCCTCTCAACCCAGTGTGGGAGACAGGATCAAAGTTCAAGCTTTGCCATTTGCTGACTTTCAGACCTTGGGCAATTCAATGTCTGCCTCTCCAAAACTCAGCCTCATCACTTCCCCCGCTTCAATTGAAATCAGTTGCCTCCCACAAGAGACCTCCCCTAGCACCTTGTCACACGGTGCGGTGACCCTGGGAGCCCGGGGAGACTAGAACACTTCACCAAGGGGGAAGACATGAAGGCCATGTGCAGATCATGTTGGCTACCCACCAACAGCTTATCCATTTGAGTTTTGGAGCCATGATGAGCTTGCAGGCAGATCAAAAGTTCAAACAAGAACAGAAATAACCCAAATTCATACCAAACTTTATCTATACAATAGTACACACACACACACACACACACACACACACACACACATATTTATCAGTGACTTTAGAGTTTCTCGTTCTGCTTTCATATCCCCCACCTTTCTCAGTATAGCCTCTCCATCTCCCCTTCGCACATAGCCATCCCTTAAGCAGAAGAATAAAACAAGAGGGAAAGAAACAAGTTCAGGAAAACCAACCAACTCAGCATCAGAGATCTGCCTTCTGTGCAGATTCCATGTCAGCAGACTCCCAGCCCAGCATTAGGGGAAGAGAAGAACGTCCTCCTTGCTCATCTTTGGGGCCACGCTCGACATGATCTTTTCACAACATTTAGTCTGGGATGTTGCTTAATCGCTCCATTTCCATGGTTGTCTGTGGTGCTTGTTTATCTGGTACTGTTCCTTCATTTCGCTCACTCTGCCCCACTTCATATAAGTCTTGTCATGTGTATCTGTATACAACACACTTGTGCTTCCTTACAACATTCGAATACTTCATTGTGTCCATAAGCCACAGTTGGTTTCGCCATTCCCCTGCGGATGCTTCTCGCCTTTGTTTCTGGTTCTTTGCTGCCCAAATACTTTCCTGGTGGTGGGATTGGTATGACAACTGAATAAGGAAGTGAATTTAGGTACTTTGGTCCCTTTGCTTCTGTTGGCTTGACATACCCATGAGCAATGAATCTATCTCCAATTGTTGAGATTTGTCTCTCTGTGGGAAGGATGTTTTGTAATGGTGTTCCTGGAGGTCCGCTGTGTGTCTTGCTAGGTATACTCCAGGTATTGTATGCGGACCACTGCTGTTTTCAATGGAATATCTCTATCTTATCTCTCTCTGCTGGATTTTCTTAGTTGATGTATGGAAATGCTGATGGTTTTCGTGGGTTTCTTTTCGATCCTGCAATTTGGTTGAAGGCGTTGTTTTCACCGATTTCTTTTCGTTGACTCTCTAGGATTCTCCGGGTAAAGGTTGGTGTTTTCCTCGGTCTCATTGTGTCCTCTTTTTCCTTACAGGAGCTGGAAAGCGGGGTGGTGCACAAGACATCTGAGTGGCACAGGTAAGGCCCCCAAATGACTGGCAAAGAGAAAAGGAGGGAAGGAGGGGTCGAAAGCTAGAGCAGAGCGAGCACAAGTGACATTCCCTGGGAGACGGTGGTCAGTGGAGCCAGCAGCCTTGGGTGAGCATGTGCATAGGATGGATCCAAACTGAAGCAGACCTCAGAGAACAGTTGAAGGTACTGAGGCCTGGGAGGGAAATGGTGTGCCCAGGGTCTCGCAGGGAGTGGATGTCAGCAAAGACTTTCAGCCAGGCCTCTGACTCTGTCCTTCGCACTGAGTCATGGTTGTGTTCAGGAGAACCCCTTCAGTTCCATTTCCTGGCCTCTGTTTGACTCCATCCTCCAGTGCCTATTCTCCAGCTTGACCTTGCCCTTTCTTTTGTCATTGGCTAGTTCTTCCCAAGAAGGCTTTGTGGAAACAAGGCCAAAGCGGATGGGTTCCCTAGAGGCCCAGCTGGTTGGCCTGAGGCAGGAGCTAGTGGCCTTGAGCCAGAGCCAGGCTGAGGTGGAGAAAGAATCACACCTTGGGCCAGAGAAGATGGTGGCCCTGCGCAATGAGGTGAGTCCTCCCATCCCCGACTTAGGCCACCTGCATCTCTCCATCTAAATTGGGCTATGTCAGCCAAGGGAGGTACCACCCTCGAAGCTGTCCACTGGGCGCTTCCCATACATGTAGGCCTACTGGGTGCACTTTGTGATATGGACAGGACATTCCTCATCTGTTACCTGGGAGAATAACAGCCCCTAGAGGGTTCAATGAGATTATTAAGCAGTGGAGAAATGCCAGTCGCTTGGTTCACCAACCCTTCCCTGACACCAAGCTGGCATGTGCTGACCCCAGAACTCAGAGTGACTCTAGACACCCCGGGCCCCCTGTCCAGGCCCTCTTGCTTCCTCATTTCTGCTGGTGCTCAGGGCTTTGCTGAGCTCTTTCGTCTGGTGGCTTCCAGGTGGAGTCTAAGGTCCCTGGCTGGATTCAGCAGGTCCTTCATTTGAAGCTAGGGGACGTGCAGGCCCAGCTTCGTGACCTAGAGCACCGACTCCTGAGGTATATGACAGAGGAGCAGGATAAGTGTGCGGGCAAAGTTTGCTGCCATCTTGAGGCTGAGCCTTGTGAAGGAAGGAGTGACCAGCGGGGTGACAAAGGAGGTGAGGTCTGCCCCACTCGCTATCTTCCTGGCTGGGGTCACTGGTTTGCCCTGAGAGGAGGCTGCCAGGAGGGAGGGGGAAACCCTGGCAGACCAGGTAGCTCACTTGCCCGGCCCCGCATGGACTGGGCCAGCCCTGCAGGTGGCCCATCCCCTGAATGGTGCTTGCCTGTCTTTTAGAAAGTACACCAGATCGTAGAGCAGGCACTGAAAAAGTACAGTGCAGATCGCATCGGGCTGGTGGATTATGCCCTGGAATCTTCAGGTAGGTGGCCTGCAGAAAGCCAGAGGGCTTGGGACAAAAGGGATTGGAAAATCAAGATGGACTTGAAGAGACAGGAGGAATTGACAAATGAAGATGCCCCTTATGGGCCGGGGCAGTTAGGAGGGCTGATGGCCAGGCAGCGCCCCTCACCTTGAGGGCTCCCTCAGGCCATCTCTGGGTCCTCCCAGCCCTCAGGTCTCCCCCCACTCCTTTCCCTGTTGCTCTTTCAGGGGCCAGCATCGTCAGCCGCCGCTCGTCACCGACGTATGGCATGAGGACGGAGTGGTCTGGCCATTTCACTCTCTTTGGCATCCCCTTGTGGCGCTATTTCCAGTCCCCAAGACTCATCCTCCAGGTAGCGCTGAACAAAGGTCCCCCAGCTTGCCTCTCTATGTCCCATGTCTCAGCGTCCTCTGTTGAGGCTGGGCTCCCAAGGCAGAGTGGCCCCACCACCAGGACCTGCTCCATCTGCTGCCTCCTTTCACCTGCCTTGTCTTGTGCCCACAGCCAGACGTCTACCCTGGCAACTGCTGGGCATTCAGGGGCCACCAGGGCTTCGTCGTGGTGCGCTTGTCTGCCCGCATCCAGCTCACTGCCATCACCTTGGAGCACGTGCCAAAAGCTCTGTCCCCAACCGCTGACATCCCCAGTGCCCCAAAGGACTTTGTCATCTTGGTGAGTACCTGAGCCTCCCAGCTCTCCTTTCTAGAGTGGCAGAAAGTGGTTTCTTCACAGCAGCATTGCCAGCTGAGGAATGCGACGGTGTGCCCATTTGACACGTGTGACATTGAGGCTGGTCTCCTGACTCCAGGCCCAGCCCTTCTGCTCCTCCCCCTCTTCTTCAAGAGGAACCAGGAAAGGACAATGACAGCAGCCAGGAGAGCCAAGATGACACTGCTACCACAAGGACCTTTTCCACAGCAAGTTGCCTCCCTGGCCACGTGTGCCATGGTGGAGCTGGTCTGGGACGGTGACCACCATGCCCTACATAGTCACCACTCAGGGCAGAATTGGAACATCCACCTGAGGAGGCTTTGAGAGAAAAGAGGGAGCCAGAGCAGAAGGTGACAAATGGAGGCAAGAGGGACACTTTAGGATCCCAATCCAGATACAGATGAAGAACTTGAGGCTCACACGACTTAGTGGCTTGTGCCAAGCCATTCAGAGGCTTAGGGGAAGAAGCTGAGAGGGAGGCCAAGGGCATGGAGGGCAAAGGCTCTGTCTATTGAGTTCGTGAGAGAGATGCTAGCAGATGAGGGGATCAAGGAAGGCAACCTCATGGTGGCTTTTGTTGGTTCTCCTATCCCCTCCCCAACTTATCCTGCTGCTACTGCATCCTCCAGCCTGTCCTCCTCCACCTCTTCCTCCTCCCCCACAGCCTCCCCACTCCTTTCCTTCCCTACATTGCTTGGGATGCATGTGCTAACAGCATGCTATTTGTGCACAGGCCTGGCATCCATTCATGTGACCATCCATCCCCTCCCTTTGCTTTTCCTTGTGTACAGGGGCTAAATGAAGATTCTCAGGCAGACGGGGTGGCCCTCGGGCAGTTCACCTACGATAACGCTGGCGAGGCCATTCAGACCTTCCACTTGGAGGTACGCAGGGAGGCTCCCACAGCAGTCCGCCAGTGTCCCAGGAAGGCTGGTGATCTGGAAGGCAGGATCACTGGCCACAGGGCTGCTGTGGTTTTTCAGTGGCTGCAGTGGAAGCCAGGACCCCTTGGATCTGATAGGAAGCTGAGGGAAAACCTTGTGACTTAACTGAGCCACTGCTCTTTGAAGGAAGACTGGGGCACAAAGGCTGTGGGGGCAGGGCTTGCACCAAGGGATGTCAGGCCTTCCCGACCCCACTCTCTTCTCCCCCACAGGGCAACGACACAGCCCCATACCAGCTGGTAGAGCTGCGAATCCTCAGCAACTGGGGTCACCCTGACTATACGTGCATTTACCGCTTCAGGGTCCATGGGAAGCCTGCCACTTAGCCCCGCCCCAGCCTGCTGCCTTCACCCCTTCCTCCTTCAGCCGCCACAAAGCAGCTCTCTCACCTCCTCCTCCCTGCCCCCGCTTAATCTCTTCTGCCCACTGTGCCTTCTGGGACAGAGACAAAACCTCCGTGGAGCCCTCTTGCCCCACCAGGCCCACTCAGAGATGGAGAAGACAACCGGCTGAGCCTTTGCTTCTCACAAGGCCAACAACCGGCATTTGGGGGAAGTTTTCACCCAAGATCACCTGCAGTGGCATTTAGAAACAGCTCGTCACCATGGCTTGTAGCCATAGCTAGTTGGCCCCTTGTACCCACTGGGGTTTCATTTGCACTGCAGTGGAAGTTAGTACTGTTAGATAGAACATTAGTCGTGGGTTAGATAAAGCTGACAAAGAAGGGGGCTCAGAGTGCAGCCAGGGGCCATGGGGAGAGCGCCTTCCCTTCTCCTACTGCTGCCAGGTTTCTCCTGCCTTCCTCGGCGGCCCAGAGACTCTACATTTCCACTTTAGCCATGCCTTCTTCCACCTCCTGACCTGAAGCTCAGTCGCTGTGGTCTCTCCTTTGGGACCATCAGCTCCAGCTGATATGGCTATGGTGGGGAGGAGACTGGCCAGGGGGGCCTGAGGAGAAGGGTCCTTGCCTGGCCTCTTGTAGGGTAGGCATTGAGTCAAAGCTGCCCTTTATCCCTGAGCTGCACCTCACATGGCCCAAGTGCCTCTACAGGGAAACAGGGCATTGGAGGCTCATCAGGCTCTTACTCTGACCTCTGAATCTAGTTCCTTTTGAGCTTGGTTAGCATAGGAGCAGGTATTAAGTTTATGGGGATAGGGTTTGGGTTGGGGGGAGCTTTTTGCAGTGAAGGCTGGTGTGGGAGAGGGAAGGCAGATGTTTTGGCCCACTGAACCTCAGATTATTATGTATAGAGATAGAAGTGTTTCTATTGGTACAGAGATGTAGTTCGAGGTTCTTTTTTCTCAGATAGAACAGCTAAGGGCTTCATTTCTGGCTGCCTCCCTGTAGGCCCAGAGTTAAATTCACTGCAGCCCCAGCTTCCCGGGGCAGGGTACCCGTCAAGCACTGATGCCCACAATGGCATCACAGTCCTTTCTCCCTCTTACCATCAGGAGGGAAGGCAGCGGTTCACACCACAGGGCTGGCCACTGGGTCCTGAAGCCAGCAGAGGGGCCCACTCTTCTGTAGGTTTCAGGGACCGGCAGCAGTAGGTGCGGGGCTGACCCCAGCTGCCCCTCAGCCCCGTCTGCTCCCTCTGCTTTTGTCCCCTCCCCAGGAAGCTGGCATTTCAGCAGCTCTACATAGGAACCTCCATAGAGGGACTTCGCTCATTCCCATCACAAAGATGACTGTGGAATTCTCTAGTTGTATTTTGTAATGGATAGATTCTCATTCATGCCTAGGGGAAAAAAAACAAAGAATTTTCTCTTGAATCTGTGTTTGCTTTCTATCTACTCCTCACAGGGAGGTTGCTGTTGAAGCCACCTGCTGGAGCAGTGGGGGCAAAGAGGCAGGATTGTGGTGGAAACCACCTGTTCAAAGGGCACCTTCTGTTCTGCTGAGGGAGGCCTGGGGGTAGGGGGAGTGCGCTGGGCAGTAGAGGGAGCCAAGCCCAAGCCCTGTCTTGGAGATCCAGAGCTAGAGAGGGGGCCAGAGGATGCCCAAGGAGGTGGAGCATTTGGCCTAGATCCTGGGCAGCCACCGGCAAAGTCAGAATGGAAAGGGGCCCTGGAGCATCAGAGTCTTGATTGCCAGAGAAGAGCAGGCTGCTGGGAAATTGTTAGAAGGGAGCAAGTGCCTTGCAGATGGGAATTCCCCATCCCGAGGCTGGAATCTCAGTGTCAGAGCATCCCCTCAGGACAGCCTGTTCCTTAGGCTGTTGAAAATAGTCTTCCTTCAGAGCAGAATTGTGGCCAGCCACGGCTTGACCACGCAGTCCCCACAGATGTCTCAAGGAGAGGCAGACTGGGGAAGAAGGAAGTCACTCCATGGAGAGTAAACCAGAAATGGAAGGAGGCCTCCAGACGCCGCTGGGTTTCCTGTCACCCCATCCAGAGTGGGCAGAAATAGGGCTGTGGGGCCCCAAGGTAGTCCCATTACTCTACAGAAGTTCTGAGCCCATGTCTCTCTCTACTTCCAAACCAGATGAAAAGATGTCTTCTGGCCCTTCAGACACTCTAACTAATGTCAACTTCGAATGAATTGGGGTTCAGTGCAGTACTTTTTGGCTGACACGTTAGGTTAGGGAGAATGCCCGCTTCCCTTCCCTGTTCACTCATTTCATTGAACCCCTTAACTATTTCCAAATCCACCTGGCATCTGTGACTCCGTCAAAAGCTTTGCTAAAATCTGAGCTCACTTGGCACCATTTCTCTGATCGAAGTGAACATTAGCTGCTCAGAGGGCTCTGTTTTACAAGGGATCTCTGACCCTGGCAGCTTAAGCAAGAACCGAATCTTTTTGTGCCTTCAATTGCTGCTCTCGCACCATGCAAGCACACCACTCCATTGACCCGAGGTGGAGAAGTGCTCAGAGTCTGATCAAACATTTGTCCCACTGAGGTTGCAAATGCCTTTCTTCATGAGGCACTTCCCACCTACATGATGAACCAATGCACCTTCTCTAAAGTACTGAATGGAAAGTGAGGCTAACAGACCTCTGCCTCCTAAAAAGACAATGGCAAAAGGATTGCAAGCTAACCTAGTTCCCACTGTTATCCCAAGACAATCCACTGCATCTAGTAGGCCTAGAGTAGGCCTTTGTGGGTGTTCAATACAGAGATGCTATAGACCTCTGTGGTGCGGGGACGGGGGTGGCAAAGAATAAGGAGGTGGAAAGGCAGAAGAGCCAAAAACCTGTGAGGAATCCTTCCATTTCCTGAAATGGAAAAATGAAAAGATGATATTTGTAACTGATGAGACCCTACTAATGATAAAGGTGGTGGCAGGGAAAATAGAGAGAGAGCACAGGGTGAGTTGAATATGAAAGGATGATATGGAAAAGATAAAGCGAAGGAGTGAAACGGGAATGTATTGGGAGAAGTAGAAAGGGAGAGGTAGAATAGGGTAAATTAGGTAAGAAAAAGCTTGAACCGTGGAGGGGCAGTGGGGAGAAGTGAGAGAAAAGGAGTGTAACTTCTTCTCATTGGAATTGGTATAAGGAGGAATAGCATCCCAACTGCATTGGGTATGGAAATGTCTATTCTGTTACAAGAAAGTAGGAGAGAAGGGGAAAAGAGGTAGGGTGATAGAAGGGAGGGCAGATTGGGAAGTGGGGAGTCAAAGCAAACACTTTTGTGGAAGGACAAGGTGAAAGGGGAGGATAGAATAAACAGGGGAGTGGGATAGGATGGAGGGAAATGTAGTTAGTCTTTCACTACATCACCATTATGCAAGTGTTTGACATGACTACAGAGGTATAAGGTATATTGAATTACTTCTCAGTGAGGGTGGGTGGGGAATGAGGAAGGGAGAAAACTTGGAACTCAAAGTTTTAACTAGAAATGTTAAAATTGTTTTCCCATGTAACTGGAAAAGAAGATACACAGGCAAGAGGTATAGGAATGAATCTTCCCCTAGAGGAAAATAGAAGGTGAAGTTTTTCAGAGAAGGCAGGTGAAAGAAGGGAGGGCAAATGGGGGTAAGTGGTAATCAGAAAGAAAACAATTGAAGAGGGACGTGGTGAAAGGAGAGAGAGAGAACAGAAGAAATGCGGGTAGGGGAATAGGATGGAACTGGGGCAGCTAGGTGGCACAGAGGATAGAGCACTGGCGCTGGAATCAGGAGGACTTGAGTTCAAATCCAACCTCAGACACGTAGCACTTACTAGCTGTGTGAACCTGGGCAAGTCACTTAACCCCTTTGCCTAACCAAAAAGAAAAAAAAAAGAAAGAAAGAAATACACGCAGCAATATGAAATGTCAAAAGATTTTCGAAGCAAGTTTCTCTGCTAAAGACCAAATTTTTCTAACATATAAACACCACAAGAAGTGATAGCCATGATGCTCTCCAAAAACCTGGAAAGACTTACACAGGTTTCATGCCAAGTGAAATGTACTGGGTACAAAGTCACAGCAATATTGTAGATGATCAGCAGGGAATGACTTAGCTCTTCTCAGCACTACAAGGAAGGATCCAAGACAACGCTGAAGGACTTAGGATGAAAAATGCTATCCATCCCCAGAGAGAGAACACTGATGGTGTCTGAAGAGAAATTGAAGCAACTCTTTTTTTTCACTTTATTTGTATTGACTCTTTTTGTCTATGTTTTCTTTCCCACCATGAGTGTTATGGCTCTGTTTTGCATGACTGCAAATACAGCCGTCTCAATGACGCTGTGGGGATGGGCAGGGAGAAGGGGAGAGACTTTGAAACTCCAAGTTTTAAAAGAAATATTAAGGAATGAAAATTATACTAATAAAGAAAAATAGGTATTAGTGGGCCTTGACCCGCTGGGCCTCTCTGAGGCACAGGCGGCTCTCCTGAATATTGGAGGGCCATTTCCACTCCCTCCCTCAGCAGCCAGAGTTTCAATGGGCTGTGGACATCCCCATCCTTGCAATAAAGTCCAAGTCAGCTCCAGTAGGAGCCACGACGGGGGCAGGGTGGGCAGCATGGAAGGGCTGCTGGGTGTAGAGGGCAGTGGGAGCAGCCGCTCCAGCCGCATGGGGAGGATGGCCCCTAGCCCACTGGGAAGTTCATAAACATGATCCCCAGCAAACTGAAGGCCCCCCACCTCTATACCAGAGTGAAAGGGCAAGCAGGGAATTCTCCAGAATGCTGTGGATGCAGACCCAGTGGTGTGGGGACGGACTTAGCTATCTCCTTAGGTCCCTGGACAAGCGGCACCAGGCCAGGGCCCTGCCAGGACAGACGTTAGGGAGGTGAAGGATCTGTAGAGCTGGCAGCGAGCACAGTGCCCTCCTCTATGCCAGGCCATAGTGTCTGCACCTCTGCTTGTCTCACAGCCCTCTGTGCCATGGCACAACTGCATGCCTCCCAGACCTGGCCCTGGGCACGAGTGTCTACTCCATCCACTCTCCTCTCTGCCCCAAATCCTCATGTAGAGGCGCGTCCATGACTGAGTCGAATGCCTCACTGCCTGGCCTGCTTGCCCCCCTGCTTCATATCCTTCTCTTGTACAAAACCCAAAATCCTGTGTCAAAGGTCAGAGCTGGCCTCCAAGGTGAGCCAAGGCCCTGGCGTGCCTTTCCACGTCCCTCTGAGACCAAGTCGGCTGGCTTTTCCTACCGGTGTCAGTCTGTCTCTCCTTGTATGTATGTGGGTGGGAGCGCGTTTGCCTGTACCTGTTTGTGTTTGGGGGGGGAGGGATGACCACGGTCCCGTGCACTGGCTTGACCCTCCCAGTCCCCTGGCCCCACATGCCCCTTTTGGCTGGCTCGAATGGGGCTCAGGACGCACTTGAAGCCACGTTGTGGCCGCTCTCATCCTGCCAATGCTACAGCCCAGCTGCCCTGTAGGAAACCCTCTCAACTGGTGTAGCCCCAGGCCAAGGATGATCCTGCCAGGATGAAAACCTGGCTGTGCCTAGCCCGACCTCGCGCCCTCTTTGTCCCCGCATTCCCTCTAGCTCGCGCCCAGCGTTCTTCAGGCGTTACACCGGTAGACACAAGGGACGCGGACGCCGATGCGGATGCGGATGAGGACTTGGACGGTGCGGTCGCAGAGCACACCTAGCGGGATCAGCAGGTAGCCCATCGAGACGCGCCCGGGCACATTGTGGCCGGGAGACAACGTGGTAGAGAGGGGGATGGTCTGGAGCTCCGTGCCCTCCTCTGTGCTGGGGAACAGTGTCTGCACCTCCTCTTGCCTGCTCACCCTCATTCACAGGGCTCATCTACACGCTCAAGTCTTGCTCCCGGACGCAGTTGCCTCTGTTCTTTCACTTAACATCTGCCCCCAAATCCCCAGGAACAGCGACGTCCATGACTGAGCGGAGTCCCTCAACCACAGGCTCTTTGGCCCCTGCTTCATCTCCCTCTCCTACAAACAACACCAAAATCCAATAGTCCTGGCCAAGGCGCATTTCCGAATGCCAAGACATGGCATGACTTTCCACCGCCCTCCCGGACAAAGCCCTTTTGTTTTCCCTAGTGGTGTAAGCGCCTGTGTGTGTGTGTGTGTGTGTGTGTGTGTGTACGTAACGATTTGCGTTTGGGGGGAGGGAAGGCAGGCCACAGTCCAGGGCACAGCGCTGACCCTCCCAATCCCCTGGCCCCATATGCCCCTCTTGTCGGGACAGAATGGGGCTCATTAGCATGTTATACCCAGTCTCAACCTCCCAATGCCAGTGCCCAGCTGGTCTCTAGCAAAGCTTCTAAACTGGGGAAGCCCCAGGCCAAGGATGATCCTGCCGGGATCCAAATCTGGCTGCCCCTAGCAAGAGCTCGCGCCTTCTTTGTTCTCCCAATTCGTCTGGCACGCGCCAGCATTCCCCCGACCTCACTCTAGTAGCCATCAAAGGACCCGGACGCTGATGCAGATGGGGCGCTCCGGGAGTGGACATGGCCGTCTCAGCAGGGACCCCGTCGGGCCACACTCTGGCATGGCGTGGCCGGGAGAAAAGGTGTTAGACACGTGGAGTTTCTGAAGCTCCGTGCCCTCCTCTATGCGAGGGCACATCTGACCCCCTCCCCCAGAGTCACCTGCTTTGCACCGCTGCCTCCGCTCCATCCCCTATGCCTCCGCTCCATCCCCTAAGCTCTCCCCACAAAATCCTCAGGAACAGCGACGTCCATGACTCAGTGGAGTCCCTCAGCGCCAGGACTCTTTGATCCACTGCTTCATGTCCCTCTCACACAAACAAACAAACCAACCGAAAATCGAGTTGACCAGGACAGGGCTCAAGTCCCAACGCCAAGGAATGGCATGCATTTCACCTCCCTCTACGACAAAGTCTGGTTGATTTCCTTAGGGCTGTGAGTGCCTGCGTACACGTGTGAGAGACAGTGGCCTGTGTGTGCGTGCGTTTGTTCCTGTGTGCCGGCGTCCGTGAGTGTGCTTGGGAAGAGGGAGGACTGGCAACAGCCCTGTGCCCAGGGTTGACTCACCTAGTGTCCTCGTGGCACATGCCCCTCTTGTCTGCCCAGAATGGGGTTCATTACCCATCTATGCCCGGCCTTGGCTGTGCTGCTCCTGCAAACACCAGAGGCCAGCTGCCTTGTAAGCAACCGTGTAATGGGGGGCAGCCTCAGGCCAAAGATGATCCCCCCAGGATGAAGGCCCGGCTGGTCCTGGTCCTAGACCCAGTGCACTCCCGCTCTCTCCTCGCGGCCCCTTTGATGCGTGCCCCGCTTTTCCCACGGGAGCTCCCTTACGTGTTATCCGGGTCTCCGCTAAAGGACTGGGAGGGAGACTTTTCCATGGAAGTGGCCGCCAGGGCAGGGAGCAAGCAGTGTCTACAGGTACGGGGTTGGGTCTCCCCCTGCCAGGACAGGGACAGCAGAGGAGGTGTGGGCAGTTGCAATGTCTGCAGCCCTGGCTGAGGACACGATTCCCTCCTGTGTGCCACGACACAGTGGCTGCCCCTTCTTTTCTCTGCACAGCCTCTGCACAAAGGCACATCTGCCTCTCTTCCATCCCCTAACTTCCCCTACATAAACCCCCAGCTACAGGGGTGTCCATGCCTCACTTGAATCCCCCAATGCGAAGCATTCTTTTCCCCCTAGTTGATCTCCCTATCCCACAAACAAAACAAAACAAAACAAAACAAAGCGAAACCACACAACACAACAGAAAACAAAACAAACGAAAACAAAAACAAAACTGCAATATGGAGCTGCACAGGGCTTGACAGTTGAGGAATCCCTGAGGAGGCATTAAGGTTGGAGTTCATGAGAAGGCAGTGGGAAGGCCTAGGGCCTGCCTTGGGGGGGGGGGACCACTTGTCAACATTAACTCATTTGTAGTATGAGTCTGATATTCCTGAAGAGTTGTGATGATGAAATAAAGGAATAAAAAGTCTTTGGAGGGCTAGGCCTGATTCTCATGAAGCCCATTGCCTAAGGGTCAGGGTTAGGATCAGCTGGTTAGCGTGGACCAGTCCATGTGACCCCTTCCACCTACCAGAACAGGGTTTTGGGTGGTGGGGGAAGCCAAAGCGTTGGAAGAGAAGGCAGTCCTTTCCCTCAAGCTTATAATCTATGGAGAGAAGAGAAAGCGGTGTTTGTGAAGCAAGCTGAGAACAAACACAAGGCCAGTGTCACAAGCTCAGATTGGATAAAGATGCACTAAGGGGGAAATCCAGAAAGGAGTTAGCAGAGAGTGGGGGCTCTGCTTCAGTAGGGAGGCCCACCACAGGGTCTTTTGGAGAGTAGACTTGGTTGCCAGGCTGAGGCAGGGCTGAGCTGAGGCCATGAGGCTAGTGAGGTTGACCGTGGTAGGCAGCCATCATGAATGAGCCTTGCAGCTGCTTCAGAAACACTGGAGGAGAGAAGCTGCCAGCCCATCTTTCCTTTTGGAGGAAGAAGTCTGGGGAATGGGGTCCCTTCCTTTCAAGGTCAGCAGCATCAGTGCCGTCTGAGGGTCTCCCAGAAAATAGCGTCAAGTGACTCAGTCAGTAAGCACTGGTTCTCTTTCTTTCTTTGTGGAATTTCTAGAATTACTCAAGTCAAACGCTTGGAGGATGTCTCGGCGCAGTGAGCGCCTGCGCCTCCGATACCAGGCACTTGTTGATGGGCAAAGCAGCAGCAGCAGCAGCAGCAGCAGCAGCAGAGGGAGTTCCCAGGTGGCTGGCCAGCACACCAACTTCACGGAGGGTCCTCTCAGGTAAGAGGAGCCAGAGGAGACTAAGCTGCCTTCTCCATCACAACTGCCCGGGGCAGCCAAGGGCCTTGGCTCTTGCCATGTGCACATTTCTTTCCTGCCCCCTCTTTGGGTGGAGCCATCACTCTACTGCTTGCTTTCCCCGCAAACAAGAGAATTTCCTCCCCCTCTTGCACCCCAACTTTTGGCTGCTGCTGCCTTCTGCTTCTGAGAACAGGAACTGGGGAGAGGCAACTTGGAGCATGGAGAAGGCTGGAGACTTTGAGGCCTGCAACTGGGCAGGGAACAAGCCCTCTCAGCCATAGACCTCTTCTCCCTGGCCCCAAGGCCTAAGCTTCTTAGGGTGAAGCCAGGTGGGTGAAAGGTCTGTGGGTGAGAGACATTTTCAGATGACTCTTAGCTCTTCTCATACCTCATCTTGGTGGTTTCATTGGCAAAGAGGCCCTTACTGGCCCGGGGTAGCTGGCCTTGGTTCAATCCTGCCTCCTTTATGAAAAATTAGTTATCTCTTGAAAGAAGAAGAACAGCAAAAGAGGGCTTTGGCTATCGTTGTCTTTCAGCCTCCAAGTCTCCAGCAAAGTCTCATGCCCCTCCAGGCTTTGCCCCTTCCTTTTCTTTCTCACCTGTCTTCTTTTTCACCCTCATATCTTTTCTCTTCATGCTTGCTGTCCCCCAGGACTGTGAGGAGGAAGTCGAGTATGGTCCGAAGCCTCTCACCAGGCCTCTCACCAGCCCCTCACCTGCTTACAGGGGTAACAGGCTGGGAGAGCCCCGGATCCACCTCAGGGTACTTCTCTGAGGATGATGGTGCAGGTAGGCATCACTTCCTTCTGCCCTGGAGCCCCAACCCCAGGCACTGCCCCACTTCCTTCAAAGGGTGATCCATAGCTGGGGGTGGGGCAGGCGTCTCTCAGACACCAGAAAGAGAGAACTCTGTAAGCTAGCTCCAGGTAGGGGTGTGGAGCATGGAGATGGGGCTCAAGATCCCAAACGTGCTTGTCTCTCCTTCTGGCCGGATCCTCATTTCTTCCCTTCCCTTCAGGGCACTCTCTTATCCACCAGCCCGGCTCTGCATCCAACTTCAGTAATGGTGCCTCCCAACTTGGCATTTTTAGCTGCATGGCAATAAACCTTTCAGGTGGCTTCTGCCAGTGGGTGGTCACAGTGCCCAAGGGAGCGCTGATGCAGTGTACCTAGAAGAGCTTCTTCATGCCTATGCAAGGGCAAGCTGAGCCAGGCTGGAGGACCTCTAGCACACCGTGGGGAGATGGGCTTATTATGGACATATCCCCAGGCAAAGCTGAAGAGCTGTGGGAGGATGGAGGAGCAGAAGAGCAAGAAGGGGCTGCAGAGTTGGCAGGCTGGGAGGGGGTAGATGCAAGAAAGGATGGGCTGGCAGCGGGAAGCCTTGGAATCCCTCTGCTCGGATCTTGACAAGTTGGCTCTTTGCAGCATTCCAGTGGCGCCTGAAAACCACCTGGCACTGCGTGACCACTGCTGCCTCCCTCCAGGACTTCTTTCTCTCAATCAGGTCAGTGAGGCCTCCCTGGGGCCTGACACAATCTAGCATCCACAGTCCTCAAAGTCAATTTCCCCTTGGGCTTTGCTCTGTTTCTTTTCAGCTTTTGCAGACTTTCATGCACTGAATCTTATGAGAGACTCAGGTCAGGGCCAGGGCTGTGCTGGAAACAGCTGGAACCTGCTCCTGAGAGTCAGCTACCAAGTAGGGCTTCATTGAGTGTCTCCACTGAAGAAGATGATGGGAGAGGTGGTTTGGGTGTGCCCTGCCCTCCTGCAGAGCACATGCCAGCCCCCATTCGTCTTGGCTCTTCAGGGAAGTGGGTTGGCTCCAACTCTAAGTGGGACTCTCTTCCGGAGTATCTCTTAGGAGCTCTCCCCTCACTAGTTCCTGCCTCTGATCACAAGTGAATCTGGTGAGTTCACCTCTGCTAGTCTGAGGCTCCTGAGTTTCCCAGGACACTCCCTCCTTTGGGGTTCCAATCCAGAATTTCTGCCCAGTTCCAGGTCTCCAGGCCATGCTTGCAGTTTCTCTGTGGAGGAGCATGGCCAGCTTTCCAGGCTGCATCCAGGGCTGAGTCCAGGAGCCTCTAGAGCAAGGGTGGGGAACCTGAGGCCTCCAGGCCACATGTGGCCTTCTAGGTGCTTGGGGGTGACTTTTGGACTGAATCCCAGTTTGACCAGATCAATTGATTCTGTGAACTCTGGCCACACCAGAGGACCTAGTGGAACACATGTGTCCTCGAGGCCCACAGGTGGCCCAGCCCTGCCCTGGATTCTTGGGGTCACAGGCTGGGCCAATGGTGACCAGCCTGCCTCAGCAGGGCTTCGTCCTGCAGCTCTTCCAAGCCCAAACTGACAAGCATGTAAGGACTGAGACCAAAGAAGACTGCCTAATTCATGAGCACCATATGAACCTAGTTCTGATGGAGGCCTGATAGGGACATACCTTCCACTGCACCTGTCAAAGGGCAACACGTCACCTTGCGTAACAACATGAGTGCCTTCCAAAAAGCCACGTTTTCTCCTTCCACTTTACCCCAAGGGCTGTCCATGCCAGCCCTGCTCTCCTCTTGTTGGGTACCCAGTGGCAGATGGAGGAGGTGGGAGGGGCAAAAGTGGGCCCACCCTTTGGGTTCTTTCATTTGCCAATCAGGGAGGGTCTCCCAGGAACCTGGGGTGGGGAAGGGCAGGCACTAACATGTCCTCCTTCACCCTGACGAAATCCAGGAAGTTTTGCACTCGCAAGAAGGGGCTCGTCTTTGTCTTGGGCTTGCTGTTGCTTATGGCTTCGCTGGCTTATGGTGAGTCTTGGGGAGTGCCCAGGGTGGACCCACCAGATGGGCGGGAAGGATCAGGCCGTGGGGACACAGCCGCCAAAGTTTGGAAGACAGAGCTTTGAAGGGCAGCCTTTAGGGAGCCAAAGGGTCAAAAGCCCTGGGAAAAGGGACCCAGGCCACATATGGGCAAGCTCTTGTGCCGCACATGTCACAGTTCTGTCCTGTCTCCCCTTCTCCTCTCCCTACACCTTGTGTGTGCGGGCCTCACAGCCTCATGCTGCAAGATCAGGTGGCCATCCCGCCCACCTTGAGCATGTCAGGGGCAGGGAGGTGATTTCTCTACACCCTCAGTGGTCACTGACCTGGCACCTGAGGCTGGGAGATTGCTGCAGGAGCTGAGTCAGGAAGGAATCTGTTCTCTGAGCTAGACACACAGCCAATGCCAGGTCTGGAGGGCTTTGCCCTTTGAAGTTGGTGACAACAGACAGGGCGTTCCTCCCTGCATGATCCCAGAAGGGCTGCACTCTTGGACAGGAGCCACGACATCACACAGTGATCACTTGATCACTGTGACATCAAGTCCAGCTAGGGAATGATGACACCACAAATCAGATGGTCACCAGGGGCTGTGGTCCTCATTCAAAATGGACAGGGCCATGTGTTGAGCAGGCTCGGGACCACAAGGCGGCACTTGGAGGTTCAGTCTCCATGTCCTCTCCCCAGATGAATCTTTTCCCTCATGTTTGCCTTCATCCAAAAGGATTTCATGAGTTCTGAGAGGATCATGAGAGAGGGAACCTTTTCCTGAAGGCTCTTGGGGTGCAGCTGGCTCGAGCCATAGCCTTCCAGATCCTGTGACCCCTAGTGCATCTGCCTTCCTGGGGCTGGGGTCCTAGCTCACTTAGAGGTGACACTGCCATACTCTGTCTGGGTGGAAGTCCTCACCCTGGACTTCTTGCCCTTCTGGCACCTCAGCCTCTACCTCAATTAGCCTTTTGTCCCATGTGCTAGGTGCTTGGTATTTCTACCCCTATGGACTACAGACCTTACCCCCTGCTGTGCTCTCCTGGTGGGCAGCCAAGGGCAGCGGCAGGACAGAGGACCGTTGGGAATCAGGACAGTCCCCCTCATATTTCCAGGTCAGTGTCCAGCTCAGTGTCAGGAATGCTTTGCACAAGATGGCCAGACAAACCACGCACAATCCACTTCGATCCTCTCAACCCAGTGTGGGAGACAGGATCAAAGTTCAAGCTTTGCCATTTGCTGACTTTCAGACCTTGGGCAATTCAATGTCTGCCTCTCCAAAACTCAGCCTCATCACTTCCCCCGCTTCAATTGAAATCAGTTGCCTCCCACAAGAGGCCTCCCCTAGCACCTTGTCACACGGTGCGGTGACCCTGGGAGCCCGGGGAGACTAGAACACTTCACCAAGGGGGAAGACATGAAGGCCATGTGCAGATCATGTTGGCTACCCACCAACAGCTTATCCATTTGAGTTTTGGAGCCATGATGAGCTTGCAGCAGATCAAAAGTTCAAACAAGAACAGAAATAACCCAAATTCATACCAAACTTTATCTATACAATAGTACACACACACACACACACACACACACACACACACACACACACATATTTATCAGTGACTTTAGAGTTTCTCGTTCTGCTTTCATATCCCCCACCTTTCTCAGTATAGCCTCTCCATCTCCCCTTCGCACATAGCCATCCCTTAAGCAGAAGAATAAAACAAGAGGGAAAGAAACAAGTTCAGGAAAACCAACCAACTCAGCATCAGAGATCTGCCTTCTGTGCAGATTCCATGTCAGCAGACTCCCAGCCCAGCATTAGGGGAAGAGAAGAACGTCCTCCTTGCTCATCTTTGGGGCCACGCTCGGACATGATCTTTTCACAACATTTAGTCTGGGATGTTGCTTAATCGCTCCATTTCCATGGTTGTCTGTGGTGCTTGTTTATCTGGTACTGTTCCTTCATTTCGCTCACTCTGCCCCACTTCATATAAGTCTTGTCATGTGTATCTGTATACAACACACTTGTGCTTCCTTACAACATTCGAATACTTCATTGTGTCCATAAGCCACAGTTGGTTTCGCCATTCCCCTGCGGATGCTTCTCGCCTTTGTTTCTGGTTCTTTGCTGCCCAAATACTTTCCTGGTGGTGGGATTGGTATGACAACTGAATAAGGAAGTGAATTTAGGTACTTTGGTCCCTTTGCTTCTGTTGGCTTGACATACCCATGAGCAATGAATCTATCTCCAATTGTTGAGATTTGTCTCTCTGTGGGAAGGATGTTTTGTAATGGTGTTCCTGGAGTTCCGCTGTGTGTCTTGCTAGGTATACTCCAGGTATTGTATGCGGACCACTGCTGTTTTCAATGGAATATCTCTATCTTATCTCTCTCTGCTGGATTTTCTTAGTTGATGTATGGAAATGCTGATGGTTTTCGTGGGTTTCTTTTCGATCCTGCAATTTGGTTGAAGGCGTTGTTTTCACCGATTTCTTTTCGTTGACTCTCTAGGATTCTCCGGGTAAAGGTTGGTGTTTTCCTCGGTCTCATTGTGTCCTCTTTTTCCTTACAGGAGCTGGAAAGCGGGGTGGTGCACAAGACATCTGAGTGGCACAGGTAAGGCCCCCAAATGACTGGCAAAGAGAAAAGGAGGGAAGGAGGGGTCGAAAGCTAGAGCAGAGCGAGCACAAGTGACATTCCCTGGGAGACGGTGGTCAGTGGAGCCAGAAGCCTTGGGTGAGCATGTGCATAAGATGGATCCAAACTGAAGCAGACCTCAGAGAACAGTTGAAGGTACTGAGGCCTGGGAGGGAAATGGTGTGCCCAGGGTCTCGCAGGGAGTGGATGTCAGCAAAGACTTTCAGCCAGGCCTCTGACTCTGTCCTTCGCACTGAGTCATGGTTGTGTTCAGGAGAACCCCTTCAGTTCCATTTCCTGGCCTCTGTTTGACTCCATCCTCCAGTGCCTATTCTCCAGCTTGACCTTGCCCTTTCTTTTGTCATTGGCTAGTTCTTCCCAAGAAGGCTTTGTGGAAACAAGGCCAAAGCGATGGGTTCCCTAGAGGCCCAGCTGGTTGGCCTGAGGCAGGAGCTAGTGGCCTTGAGCCAGAGCCAGGCTGAGGTGGAGAAAGAATCACACCTTGGGCCAGAGAAGATGGTGGCCCTGCGCAATGAGGTGAGTCCTCCCATCCCCGACTTAGGCCACCTGCATCTCTCCATCTAAATTGGGCTATGTCAGCCAAGGGAGGTACCACCCTCGAAGCTGTCCACTGGGCGCTTCCCATACATGTAGGCCTACTGGGTGCACTTTGTGATATGGACAGGACATTCCTCATCTGTTACCTGGGAGAATAACAGCCCCTAGAGGGTTCAATGAGATTATTAAGCAGTGGAGAAATGCCAGTCGCTTGGTTCACCAACCCTTCCCTGACACCAAGCTGGCATGTGCTGACCCCAGAACTCAGAGTGACTCTAGACACCCCGGCCCCCTGTCCAGGCCCTCTTGCTTCCTCATTTCTGCTGGTGCTCAGGGCTTTGCTGAGCTCTTTCGTCTGGTGGCTTCCAGGTGGAGTCTAAGGTCCCTGGCTGGATTCAGCAGGTCCTTCATTTGAAGCTAGGGGAGGTGCAGGCCCAGCTTCGTGACCTAGAGCACCGACTCCTGAGGTATATGACAGAGGAGCAGGATAAGTGTGCGGCAAAGTGCTGCCATCTTGAGGCTGAGCCTTGTGAAGGAAGGAGTGACCAGCGGGGTGACAAAGGAGGTGAGGTCTGCCCCACTCGCTATCTTCCTGGCTGGGGTCACTGGTTTGCCCTGAGAGGAGGCTGCCAGGAGGGAGGGGGAAACCCTGGCAGACCAGGTAGCTCACTTGCCCGGCCCCTGCATGGACTGGGCCAGCCCTGCAGGTGGCCCATCCCCTGAATGGTGCTTGCCTGTCTTTTAGAAGTACACCAGATCGTAGAGCAGGCACTGAAAAAGTACAGTGCAGATCGCATCGGGCTGGTGGATTATGCCCTGGAATCTTCAGGTAGGTGGCCTGCAGAAAGCCAGAGGGCTTGGGACAAAAGGGATTGGAAAATCAAGATGGACTTGAAGAGACAGGAGGAATTGACAAATGAAGATGCCCCTTATGGGCCGGGGCAGTTAGGAGGGCTGATGGCCAGGCAGCGCCCCTCACCTTGAGGGCTCCCTCAGGCCATCTCTGGGTCCTCCCAGCCCTCAGGTCTCCCCCCACTCCTTTCCCTGTTGCTCTTTCAGGGGCCAGCATCGTCAGCCGCCGCTCGTCACCGACGTATGGCATGAGGACGGAGTGGTCTGGCCATTTCACTCTTTTTGGCATCCCCTTGTGGCGCTATTTCCAGTCCCCAAGACTCATCCTCCAGGTAGCGCTGAACAAAGGTCCCCCAGCTTGCCTCTCTATGTCCCATGTCTCAGCGTCCTCTGTTGAGGCTGGGCTCCCAAGGCAGAGTGGCCCCACCACCAGGACCTGTCCATCTGCTGCCTCCTTTCACCTGCCTTGTCTTGTGCCCACAGCCAGACGTCTACCCTGGCAACTGCTGGGCATTCAGGGGCCACCAGGGCTTCGTCGTGGTGCGCTTGTCTGCCCGCATCCAGCTCACTGCCATCACCTTGGAGCACGTGCCAAAAGCTCTGTCCCCAACCGCTGACATCCCCAGTGCCCCAAAGGACTTTGTCATCTTGGTGAGTACCTGAGCCTCCCAGCTCTCCTTTCTAGAGTGGCAGAAAGTGGTTTCTTCACAGCAGCATTGCCAGCTGAGGAATGCGACGGTGTGCCCATTTGACACGTGTGACATTGAGGCTGGTCTCCTGACTCCAGGCCCAGCCCTTCTGCTCCTCCCCCTCTTCTTCAAGAGGAACCAGGAAAGGACAATGACAGCAGCCAGAGAGCCAAGATGACACTGCTACCACAAGGACCTTTTCCACAGCAAGTTGCCTCCCTGGCCACGTGTGCCATGGTGGAGCTGGTCTGGGACGGTGACCACCATGCCCTACATAGTCACCACTCAGGGCAGAATTGGAACATCCACCTGAGGAGGCTTTGAGAGAAAAGAGGGAGCCAGAGCAGAAGGTGACAAATGGAGGCAAGAGGGACACTTTAGGATCCCAATCCAGATACAGATGAAGAACTTGAGGCTCACACGACTTAGTGGCTTGTGCCAAGCCATTCAGAGGCTTAGGGGAAGAAGCTGAGAGGGAGGCCAAGGGCATGGAGGGCAAAGGCTCTGTCTATTGAGTTCGTGAGAGAGATGCTAGCAGATGAGGGGATCAAGGAAGGCAACCTCATGGTGGCTTTTGTTGGTTCTCCTATCCCCTCCCCAACTTATCCTGCTGCTACTGCATCCTCCAGCCTGTCCTCCTCCACCTCTTCCTCCTCCCCCACAGCCTCCCCACTCCTTTCCTTCCCTACATTGCTTGGGATGCATGTGCTAACAGCATGCTATTTGTGCACAGGCCTGGCATCCATTCATGTGACCATCCATCCCCTCCCTTTGCTTTTCCTTGTACAGGGGCTAAATGAAGATTCTCAGGCAGACGGGGTGGCCCTCGGGCAGTTCACCTACGATAAGCTGGCGAGGCCATTCAGACCTTCCACTTGGAGGTATGCAGGGAGGCTCCCACAGCAGTCCGCCAGTGTCCCAGGAAGGCTGGTGATCTGGAAGGCAGGATCACTGGCCACAGGGCTGCTGTGGTTTTTCAGTGGCTGCAGTGGAAGCCAGGACCCCTTGGATCTGATAGGAAGCTGAGGGAAAACCTTGTGACTTAACTGAGCCACTGCTCTTTGAAGGAAGACTGGGGCACAAAGGCTGTGGGGGCAGGGCTTGCACCAAGGGATGTCAGGCCTTCCTGACCCCACTCTCTTCTCCCACAGGGCAACGACACAGCCCCATACCAGCTGGTAGAGCTGCGAATCCTCAGCAACTGGGGTCACCCTGACTATACGTGCATTTACCGCTTCAGGGTCCATGGGAAGCCTGCCACTTAGCCCCGCCCCAGCCTGCTGCCTTCACCCCTTCCTCCTTCAGCCGCCACAAAGCAGCTCTCTCACCTCCTCCTCCCTGCCCCCGCTTAATCTCTTCTGCCCACTGTGCCTTCTGGGACAGAGACAAAACCTCCGTGGAGCCCTCTTGCCCCACCAGGCCCACTCAGAGATGGAGAAGACAACCGGCTGAGCCTTTGCTTCTCACAAGGCCAACAACCGGATTTGGGGGAAGTTTTCACCCAAGATCACCTGCAGTGGCATTTAGAAACAGCTCGTCACCATGGCTTGTAGCCATAGCTAGTTGGCCCCTTGTACCCACTGGGGTTTCATTTCACTGCAGTGGAAGTTAGTACTGTTAGATAGAACATTAGTCGTGGGTTAGATAAAGCTGACAAAGAAGGGGGCTCAGAGTGCAGCCAGGGGCCATGGGGAGAGCGCCTTCCTTCTCCTACTGCTGCCAGGTTTCTCCTGCCTTCCTCGGCGGCCCAGAGACTCTACATTTCCACTTTAGCCATGCCTTCTTCCACCTCCTGACCTGAAGCTCAGTCGCTGTGGTCTCTCCTTTGGGACCATCAGCTCCAGCTGATATGGCTATGGTGGGGAGGAGACTGGCCAGGAGCCTGAGGAGAAGGGTCCTTGCCTGGCCTCTTGTAGGGTAGGCATTGAGTCAAAGCTGCCCTTTATCCCTGAGCTGCACCTCACATGGCCCAAGTGCCTCTACAGGGAAACAGGGCATTGGAGGCTCATCAGGCTCTTACTCTGACCTCTGAATCTAGTTCCTTTTGAGCTTGGTTAGCATAGAGCAGGTATTAAGTTTATGGGGATAGGGTTTGGGTTGGGGGAGCTTTTTGCAGTGAAGGCTGGTGTGGGAGAGGGAAGGCAAATGTTTTGGCCCACTGAACCTCAGATTATTATGTATAGAGATAGAAGTGTTTCTATTGTACAGAGATGTAGTTCAGGTTCTTTTTTCTCAGATAGAACAGCTAAGGGCTTCATTTCTGGCTGCCTCCCTGTAGGCCCAGAGTTAAATTCACTGCAGCCCCAGCTTCCCGGGCAGGGTACCCGTCAAGCACTGATGCCCACAATGGCATCACAGTCCTTTCTCCCTCTTACCATCAGGAGGGAAGGCAGCGGTTCACACCACAGGGCTGGCCACTGGGTCCTGAAGCCAGCAGAGGGGCCCACTCTTCTGTAGGTTTCAGGGACCGCAGCAGTAGGTGCGGGGCTGACCCCAGCTGCCCCTCAGCCCGTCTGCTCCCTCTGCTTTTGTCCCCTCCCCAGGAAGCTGGCATTTCAGCAGCTCTACATAGGAACCTCCATAGAGGGACTTCGCTCATTCCCATCACAAAGATGACTGTGGAATTCTCTAGTTGTATTTTGTAATGGATAGATTCTCATTCATGCCTAGGGGAAAAAAAACAATTTTCTCTTGAATCTGTGTTTGCTTCCTATCTACTCCTCACAGGGAGGTTGCTGTTGAAGCCACCTGCTGGAGCAGTGGGGGCAAAGAGGCAGGATTGTGGTGGAAACCACTGTTCAAAGGGCACCTTCTGTTCTGCTGAGGGAGGCCTGGGGGTAGGGGGAGTGCACTGGGCAGTAGAGGAGCCAAGCCCAAGCCCTGTCTTGGAGATCCAGAGCTAGAGGGGCCAGAGGATGCCCAAGGAGGTGGAGCATTTGGCCTAGATCCTGGGCAGCCACCGGCAAAGTCAGAATGGAAAGGGGCCCTGGAGCATCAGAGTCTTGATTGCCAGAGAAGAGCAGGCTGCTGGGAAATTGTTAGAAGGGAGCAAGTGCCTTGCAGATGGGAATTCCCCATCCCGAGGCTGGAATCTCAGTGTCAGAGCATCCCCTCAGGACAGCCTGTTCCTTAGGCTGTTGAAAATAGTCTTCCTTCAGAGCAGAATTGTGGCCAGCCACGGCTTGACCACGCAGTCCCCACAGATGTCTCAAGGAGAGGCAGACTGGGGAAGAAGGAACTCACTCCATGGAGAGCAAACCAGAGATGGAAGGAGGCCTCCAGACGCCGCTGGGTTTCCTGTCACCCCATCCAGAGTGGGCAGAAA